TTGGTCGAGGATGTGTTTTGGTGGGGGCTCTGGTGTCCATGGGCAACTTGTGGGTGTGTTATGGTGGCCACCGATGTTGGTTCTCCAGAGAGCTGGGGTTGCCATGGGTTGAGGTTCTCCATGAGTGGAGGTTCTCTGAGGTCCATTGACTCCCCTCATGGGTTGAGGTTCTTCAAGGTCCCCATGGGCTGAGGTTCTCCATGGGTTGAGATTCAACATGGGTTGAAGTTCTCCAAGCTCCACTGACCCCATGGATTGAGGTTCTCCATGGGCTGAGGTTCTCCAAGCTCCATTGACCCCATAGGTTGAGGTTTTCCATGGGCTGAGGTTCTCCAAGCTCCATTCACTCCATGTGTTGAGGTTCTCCATGGGTTGAGGTTCTCCAAACTCTACTGACCCAATGGGTTGAGATTCTTCAAGGTCCCCATGGGCTGAGGTTCTTCAAGGGCCATCACAGCCATAGGCTGAGGTTCTCTCTGCTGGTCCCTGGTCCCCAGGGACTGAAGTTTTCCACGGACCCCATGGACCCCACGGACTGAGGTTCTCCATGACCTGATGGCCCCCATGGATTGAGGTTCTCCATGACCTGATGTTCCCCATAGCTCTGTGTCTGCCGCGGGCCCGGGACCACCCCCATGATTTGAGGTCCTCCACGACCCCCTGGTGGCCACCTGGTTGTCCCCCCACCTCCCATCATGCCATGAGGCCCCAAACACGACGGATTTATTTGGCACTGTGCTCCAAGAGAGGTCACTGATTTGGTGGTGGGGGGGGGTCACCCGGACACCTGGGCCCCCCGAGCTGGAAGCTTCCCCTCCTCCAGGCTGGGAAGGGCCCAGGCGTCCGAGCGCCGGGAACATTTGCCTAGAGGGAAACCACAGGGGAAGCAGGATGCAAATGAGGGCGGGGTCAGGAAGCGGCACCCGGATGCCTGGGCCCTTCCCGGATGCCTGGGCCCCTCCTGGATCCCTGGATCCCACCTGGGTCCCTCTCCATGTCCCTCCATGTCCCCTATAGCCCTCCATGTCCCCTCATGCCCTTCCATGTCCCCCATGTCCCTCCATGTCCCCCCATGTCCCTGTGTCCCTCCATGTCCCCCCATTGTCCCCATGTCCCTCCATGTCCCTGATGTCCCCCACGTCTCTCCATGTCCCTCCATGTCCCCCTATGTCTCCACATGTCCTCCCAGGTGCCTCCCTGTCCCCTCATGGCCCTGTGTCCCCTCATGTCCCCAATGTCCCCCCAGTTCCCATGTCCCTCCTTGTCCCCCCATGTCCCTCCAATATCCCCCATGTCCCTCCATGTCCCCCCATGTCCCTAGAAGTCCTTTTGATGTCTCTGTGGGGTCTTTATGGGGTCTATGCAGCCATAAGGTTATATAGGGGGCCACAGGGGGTCTCTATGGGCCTCTACGGGGTGCCAGAGGATCCTATGGGGGTTGTTGGGGGTCCTAGAGGGTGCTATGGGGCCCTATGGGGACATAGGGGGTCTTTATGGCATGTGTGTGGACCTTGTTGGGGTACTGTGGGGTCTCTACGGGGTCTCCATGGAGTCCCAGAGGGTTCCATAGGGTCTCTATGGGTCCTCTATGGGATCTATGGGGTTCTAGGAGGTCCTTGGGAGCCTCTATGGGTCTCTATGGGGACCATGGGGCCCCATACATGCCATAGATACCCTATAGAGACCCTCTAGGACCCTATAGCGCTCCACAGGACTCCATAGAGACTCCATAGGACCTTACAGGACTCTCCAGGAACTCATAGAGAACCCATAGAGACCCCCTAGGGTCCCCATATGATCCCATAGGATCCCATAGAACTCCACAGAGACCCCATGGAGACCCCCTAGGGCCCTCTAGGATTCCCTAGAAACCCCCATAGGACCACCTAATGCCCCACAGAGACCCATATATCCCTCTAGGACCCAATATATCCCCCTACAATCCCATAGGCATCATAGAGACCCTATAGAAACCCCCTAGGACACCATACCGACCCCCTAGAAGATGCTATAGCCCCATAGGATCCCATAGGGCCCCAGAGGACCCCACAGGACACCATAAAGACCGCCTAGGTCTCCATAGGGCCCCAAAAGATCCCATAGATACATATAGAGACCCTCTAGGTCCCTACAAACCTCACACGACCCCCTAGAACCCCACAGATACCCATAGAGACCCCCTAGGAGCCCCTATAACTCCCTAGAACATCACAAGCTCCATAGAGGCCAAATAGAGACCCTCACAGGGCCCCACAGACCTCACAGAGACCCTATAGGGACCCATAGGACCCCTAGAATTCCCTAGAGACCCCACAGGAACCCCTAGAACCCTATAGAGACCCCATAGGATGCCATAAGACCTCATAGAGACTCCCTAAGGCCCCGGAAAACGCCATAGAGACCCCATAGAGATGCCAGAGCACCCTCTAGAACCCCATAGAGACCCCAGAGACCCTTCAGGACCCCCTAGAACCCTACAGAGATTCCATAGGAACCCCTAGAACCCCATAAGACCCCATAAGACCTCCTAGAACCTCAGAGAAACCCCATAGGGCTCCCTAGAGACCTCATAGGACCCCTAGATCCCCCTAGAGACCCCCTAAAGACCCCCTAGGACCCCATAGAGAACCCATAGAACCCCATAGAGACCCCATACGATGCCCTAAGACCTCATAGGGACCCCCCTAAGGCCCCCCAAAACCCCATAGAGACCCCATAGGACTCCCGAGAACCCCATAGAGATGCCACAAGACCCCATAGGAACCCCTAGAATCCCATAGAGACCCCATTGGACTCCCTAGAATCCCATAGAGACTCCATAGAACCGCCTAGAATCCCACAGAAATTCCATGGAACCCCTAAAGCCCCATAGAAATCCCATAGAGACCCCATAGGGCTCCCTAGAACCCCCTAGATACCCCATAGGACCCCTAGAACTGCCTACGGACCCCCTAGAAACCCCCTAGGATCCCTTAGAGACCCCTTAGAACCCTATAGAGACCCCACAGGATGCCCTAAGATCTCATAGGGACCCCCTAAGCCCCCCCAAAACCCCCTAGAGACCCCATAGGACCTCCTAGAACCCCATAGAGACCCCATAGGACTCCCTAGAACCCCATGGAGACCCCAAGAACCCAATAGAGACCTCATAGGACCCTCTGCAACCCCCTAGAGACCCAGGAC